AATAAAAATGCATTTAATTTTGTCTTCAAAACTAAAAAAATCATGGGGCAATTACAAAAATGTCATTTTTTGTGCATATTTGCAATAATGCCACTTAGGGATGTACATTTACAAAAATGTCACTAATTATAGATTTATAAAGCCTATATTTTAAAATTCTAAACCCTAAAAAATATTTTGACACCTAAAAAATAATTTTGAAAAAGTGGCATTTTTGTAAAGATTTCAAAAGTGTGGCATTTTTGTAGACATCGCAGATTGATTATTGCTGGCGACATTACATATACTGGTGATGAGAAAAGCTCACGTCCCCCTTCAACGCCTGTGTTGCCTTGCCGCATTGTTTGGGTTGATCCACCTCACAACGTTAATTTATGACTTTATCCTTTATGTTTCGTCTGATGGAAATCTTTAGTTGTGCCTTTTAAAGGTTTCATTAGATGACTTTGTTTATCTTTTGTGGTTTATATGATTGAAGCAGTTGCAAGTCTTATTTCCGTTGTTGTACTCTTCTGGAAACATTAACTGGATCAAGTTTTAATTAATCCAATGCCTTGTCTTTAAGTTTCATAACACACAAGTGTTTTAATCTGACCCTATTGCTTCTTTACTATTTATATGTTTGAGAATTGGACTTTACGTTATATGTTAGTACATGTTTAAGGGGAAATTATATTGTAGAGCGTGTTTCTGCAGAAACTTGGAAGGAAACAAGTTAACTAACAGGGAACCTCCTGCCTTCTCGAGAGATTCAAGGATGGATAGCTTTCTCTAAGGTTGGCTCTTGATAAGCTTTTTGATTTCATCGCAGATCTGTTGCTACGTCTACATGATTTAAAGCAGTTCTACTTGAGTTTTGGCATATCGGTTTATACATTCTCCGAAACTTGGAAGGAAACAAGGTGATAATGCTATACAATTTCGTCTGGTTATAGTTAAGTACAAATGTTTTAGACAATGCTATACAACTTCGTCTGGTTATAGTTAAGTACAAATGTTTTAGCTTTCTTAAGATTTTCGAACGAATGTTTTGAGTTATATTATGGATAAAAGGATAAGTTAAGAATATGATCTCATTCAGTGATGTTTTATACATAGTGGTAAGCTTTAAGACAGAGGCTTTGCAATTTTGTGTGAATATGGGAATGTGCGTAATTGTTTCGCTTGACACAAGGTTAAATTGTCAAGTTATGCCACTTTAGTTAGTTAATATTCTTGTGTTCATATACTTGATGTGTTTGTTTCTAAATTGAAATAAAAATTGCAGGGAAAATTTTTAGTTGGAAAAGAAATCGATATTTGGAGTGCAGGGATTGTTCTATACATCTTTATTTGTGGTGTACCTCCTTTTTAGGTAGGTAATGAAAGCTGCAAATTTATTTGTTTCGGTTTAAGCATTTAGTTATGTTACTATATATTGTTGTTGTTGTGGCATTGTAGAAACTGAGAAAGGGATATTTGATGAGATTCTAAAGGGAGAAATTGATTTTGAGAGCCAACCATGGCCTTCTATATCCGAGAGTGCTAAAGACCTTGTGAGGAAGATGCTCACTAAGGACCCCAAGAAACGAATCTCTGCAGCACAAGCTCTTGGTAAAGTCCATTTTGTCTCTGTGAAGTGCGGTTTTGTAATCAACTTACTTTGCAAAGCTCGACTAATCTGTAGTGACCCTTGTGGGTTTTTGTAGAACATCCATGGATCAGAGGCGGGGAAGCGCCGGACAAGCCCATTGATAGTGCTTTGTTATCTCGGATGAAGCAATTCCGAGCAATGAACAGGCTTAAGAAGCTAGCTCTAAACGTAAAACTATGAAACTTCTCTTTTGCTGGTATGCATTCTGTTCTGTTTTTCCTAATAACGGTTCTGTTTCTAACTTTTTGTTTTGCAGGTTATTGCAGAGTCTCTCCGAAGAGGAAATTAGAGGTCTTAAAACAATGTTTGCTAATATAGATACCGACAAAAGCGGTATAATCACTTACGAAGAACTAAAAACCGGGCTGGCTAAACTCGGCTCTAAATTTTCTGAAACTGAAGTTAAGCGACTCATGGACGCAGTGAGTATCTCCATGCTTGTATTCTTTAATATTTTTTTCTCTCTAAAAAAATAGAATCTGAGAAATGAAGCGTCTCTGTATCTATTTCAGGCTGATGTAGATGGTAATGGAACAATCGACTACATTGAGTTTATGTCAGCAACGATGAATAGATACAGATTGGATCGAGACGAATACTTTGACAAAGACAACACGGGTAAACGCTTTTGGTGGAACAGAGCAAATATAAACTTAGAAGTTGGAACTATTTCTGAGACACTAATATGGATTTGGCTTACACAGGGTTATCACAATGGAGGAATTGGAGTCAGCCATGAAAGAGTATGGTATGGGAGATGAAGCTAGCATCAAAGAAGTCATAGCCGAAAGTCGATACCGATAATGTAAGTTTTGTTTCTTAGCATCAAAGAAGTTATGAATCTCTTGTACAGGATGGAAGAATAAACTATGAAGAATTCTGCGTGATGATGAGAAGTGGTACCACGCAGCCACAACATGGGAAGCTTCTTCCAACTAGTCCGTTGATTGATTAATTGAAAAGGCTTCTCGTGCTTGCTAGAGTAACATAAACATTAATTAGACCATTCAAGTTGAGATCAGTAGCATAAACTAATTGGAAAAGGGATTAGTTTTGATACAAAAATTGCANAAACTTAGTTCTGGTTCAATTGTTTATTATAGCGACTGTTTGCTTGACATACATTAGCCTATCAGTGAATTTGACATTAACCCAATATCACACAAATGATATTGTTGGGGTTTGGGATGTAATATCCCGCATTCTCCTATCTCCAATTTCTCATTGTTGACTTCAAACTCAAAGACTAATTCCCTGGATCTCACCTTTGCTTCAACATTGAACGTGTACAGATGTTCCTTTAACAGTGGACGTTGGTGGTGGTATCTTCTTTGCTCAACATTGACACCATTCTGTTTTTGCGTGACGCGATAAGTTACTTCGACATTGGTCCAGTTGCGAACCTCAACGTCACCCTTATTAACCAGCAAGAAGCAAGCCTTAAAGCTCAAGAATCTAGGAAAATGCATGGACATGGAACTCCCAGTGGCTCGGTAAGTATAGTGTGTTGGCACTTTTTCTCCAGGTAAGATTACATTATTACAACTCGATGTCTTGATGATGAGGTCTCTTGCTTCTTGATTCAGTTTGAAGCAGTTACCAAAGTTGAGGATGATAAACTTATTATTATGAAAAGAGCAATCCAGTCTATCTAAGGACTCACAATTTTCTGCATCAAGGATTTCTAAGGAGCATGGAAGCTGTGGGAGCGAAACCAGCTTTGTGCATCCCTTGATTACAGGCTTTTGTAGACGAGATAATTCTTTAATCCATGGAGCAATTTCTTGTATTCTTGTATCACTCACGTGCAGCTCTCTGAAGTATTTAAAAGCATGCAAGAATTCTACGAGGTTTTCCCAGTATGAGATACACAAGTCAAGATAACGACAAGACCTGATTGATGAAGGAACTTCTTCTATTGCAGCCCGGGAAATTCGATGTTTGTGGAAATCTCAGGACATTTTTTCAACAACAAACAATCAGTGAGATCAAGTTCACCAAGATATTCCAGTGAGATCGGAATGGCCTCTAGCTTTGAGCAACCTTTTAAACGCAAAAACGACAACTTATGAAGATTTCCCATAGAAGAAGGTAGCTTCACCAGACTCGAGCAACCACAAAGATCTAAATTCCAGAGACTAGTTATATTTCCAATAGAAGATGGGAGTTTCGCTAGGCTTGAGCAACCATTGAGATTCAAGTGGTCGATTTTAGTAGCATTCCCAATAGAAGATGGGAGCTCTACTAGACTTGAGCAACCGCTAAGATCCAAATTTTCAAGACTAGTTACATTACCAATAAAAGATGGAAGCTCCACTAAACTCGAGCAACCACTTAGAGTCAAATGGTGGACCTTAATATCATTTCCAATAGAAGATGGAAGCTCCACTAAACTCGAGCAACCACTAAGATTCAATTGCTTGTCGTTAATAACATTCCAAATAAAAGATGGAAGCTCAATCAGACTCGAGCAACCACTGAGATTCAATGACCGGAGCTTAGCAGCATTCCCAGTGAAAGATGGGAGCTCTAGTAGACTTGAGCAACCACTAAGATTCAACACCTCAAGATTAGTTGCATTTCCAATAGAAGATGGAAGCTCCACTAGACTCCGGCAATCACTAAGATTCAATCGCTGGAGCTTAATAGCATTCCCAATAGAAGATGGAAGCTCCACTAGACTCCAACAACCACTAAGATTTAGTTTTTGAAGATTAGTTGCATTTCCAATAGAGAAGGAGAGCTTCACCAAACTTAAGCAACAACTAAGATCTAATTCCTCGAGATTAATAGCACTACCGATAGAAGACGGGAGCTCTATTAGACTTAAGCATTTATGAAGCAACAATTTTCGGAGATTAATGGCATTCCCAATAGAAGATGGGAGCTCCACCAAACTTGAGCAACAACTAAGATCCAGTTCACGGAGATTAGTGGCAGTTGAGAGATCAGGAAGCTCCCTCAGATTATAGGAATACCTCAAATCCATCCATCTAAGATTTCTAATCATCTGTACAATGAAACAAATATGTTGATACATTTAGTAGTGAACTCATCAAAATGAAAAACTACTCTCATAGAACACATTTCGATTTAATTCCATTCCAATGGTGTTGAGACCACTTTTTTTCTTTTGCAGCTAAATCACATTGAACGAGAAAGACAAATTATAGATTCGAATAAAACCGAAGTATATAAATTTCTATAGAAACAAATAATTAAAGAAAGATAACTTACTTTAAATCCTTCCCACAATTTTCGAAGCTTGCTGGTACGCATCTTTAGTTCGACGAGGAACTCCGGATTAAAATTAGAAGGCAGACATGTCCTCGAAAAATTATCATAATCCAGTAATCTAACTTTTCGAGGTAGATTGTTCAGACTTTGTTGTAAGTAAGATCTAGAGTGATTATAAACGTAATTCACTAATCTAACTTTTCGAGGATTATGACTGTAATCGTGGACTCTTAAGAACTGGAGACAAGACATTCTTTCCAAGGCACTGTCACATATATTTAACTCATCCTTGATCCCAGAGAAGTTGATAATTGCACCTACAACACTTCCACCACTCTGAAAGAGAACCCAAAGACACATAAGTAAATATGATTAATTATCAAATTTCATAAGAGAAACACATGAAAAAAACTAATGTGGAAACTTACAACTGTGTCATTATTCAGTAGTTTGCATATATCTCTAGTATCAACCAAAAACTGACGTTGTCCAGGGTCATGAATGGATTGTTTGCGAACAATTTCTCTACCCAAGCGTGCTAGCAAATCATGCATCTCTATATTTCCCGAGCTGATAGATATGAGAGATTTGTCAGCTAAGACGTGAAAACCTTGGTCCACATCACAGAAATTATTTGCAAGATACGCTTTCACTTTCTCAATCGATTGATTCCTGAAAAAGCAGGCTATATAAAGAAATAAATCTTTATCTTCATCACATAAAGCATCGTAACTAAACTTTAGGATGCTTTCGATTTCTCCGTCAAGACTAGTCCTTAATCTTGGTAGTGCCTTTTTCCACTCATGCTTGAGCATTCCTTTGAAATAAGATCCCATAACCCTTAGTCCCAAAGGGAGTTTACCAGCAAGTTTTGTAACTTCCCAAGCAAGCTTCCTAAAGTCCACATATGGAAAATTTTGACCAAAAGCATACATGCAGAAGATTTGAAGAGCCTCATCGTCACGTGGAAAATCCACCTCGTAAATTTGGTTAATCCCATGTGCATTCAAAATTTTTTTATCTTGCGTTGTGATGATAATACGGCTTCCAGGACCAAACCACCGAATTTCTTTGGCCATTGCATCTAGTTGCACGGACTGATCAACGTCATCAAGAACCACAAACACTCTCTTATCTTTTAACCTGTCTTGTGCAACTCCTAAATGATGAATCTTGATGTCCTCATGGTTGATTATCTGCGACAAGAACTCTTTCTGTAGTTGCAGTTTCGCGCTATACTCATCATAACAAGGTCTTGGATAGCGTCTTTTGATATTCTCCATGAAGACACTGAGTTGGAACTGATGAGAGTATTTGCTGTGTAGAACTCTGGCGATGGTGCTCTTACCGATTCCGGAAGGTCCCCAAATCCCTATCATCTTCACTTCATTGGAGCCTAGGCGTAAGAACAAACTCATATTCTCCATATGAGCTCTCATCCCAACTAAAGCGTCGTAATCACTTGAGGGCACAGAATTAATAAGCTCGCTTGAAACATCAGAGGCGATTTTTTCGATCATGGCCGCTTCATTATCCCTTACAAGAGGAAAGATGAATACATCCGTTAAATAGTAAAATAGTAAAATAGTTATGGGAAATTTACATACACATTTGTACTACTAATTAAGGCTTAAAAAAATGGAACCAGTCGGATATAAATTTTTGTAAACGTCTAAACC